GTCACTTAGAACTTGTAAGTGTCCTCAGCACTGAAGCCTTTGTGGCCACGCTTGGCCGCTTCGTATCGCGTCGCGGTTTGCCGGACCTCGTAACGAATTATAAGGGCACGGATAGATATTTGAAAGAGGTCGTCGAATTTCTGTCCAGCAACAGGATTTATTTAGGTACTGCGATGTCCAAGAAGGCCATCCAGTGGAAATTCGACCCTCCGGCTTGCCCACACTGGGGCTGTATTTTTGAAGTGGTGGATAAGGTTGCAAAAACGCATCTCCGTCGCGTTATTGGCGAAACTATTTTGATATTTGAGGAGCTTGCCACTGTATTCTGTAAAATTGAGGCGGTACTCAACTCTCGGCCCTCTGTCCCCTCTCGTGCGATCCGAATGATTTGGAGGTTCCAACCCCGGGCCACTTCCTGATTGGCCAGCCGCTTAACGCCCTGCCCGAGTACCCCTTCAGGAAAATAAACTCTTCGCGGTTGAGCAGATTTGACCTGCTGCAACAAATCCTCTGTTTTTGGCCCGTGGTCTCTGGGGTACCTCCATCTTTTGCAGCAGCGCGTTAAGTGGTCTGACAAGACGGATCCTCCTCGGGTTGGAACCTCGTGTTACTTAAGGAACAAAACGCTTTGTCTTTGTATTGGCACCGTGGGCACATTGTTAAGTTGTCGTATGGACCGGATGGGGTGCCTAGGGTGGCCGAGGTTTTGGTTGGAGATTCGGTCTTGCAACGTGCCGTCGCGACCCTATCCCGTTTGCCAATTTACTCGCGGACATAAGTCCTTATGTCCGGGACGGGGGTTTGTTTAGGCCACATAATAACAACTTGGGACTTGCGGGAGCACTCGTCTCGGGCAAGGAACCGGTTTGACGGGTCGAGCCGAGCGGGCGTCGACCGTGCGAATTTAGTCTGGAATAATCTTTGTGCGCTACGGCCGTGCCGGTTGGAATCGTTCCGTCGCATTAAGACTGCCTCTTTTGCATTGTCTTATTTCGTCATATAATTGACAACGAGGCTTTCCTTGAGTTTGAGTTATTAATTAACTTCGATTGCCATTAATTTGCGTCTGCGATTAGTAATTTTTATATCGTACGAAGGAATTTTTGTTTTGTCGGGTTGAACGCTAAACTTTGTGATCCGGGTGGAGATCGCGTTCGATTATAGTTTGTGCTAAGTGACGTTAGACTTGAGTTCAGATAGCGGTGAACGCCCACTGGTATGATTGCGCCTTGTGGAGCGGGGCAATGCATGTGGTTCTGCTGAACGATTACATCGGTGACGTCAGGTTACATTACACACCTTCTTACACCACTCACACCAAACTTTTACTTTCCCCTGACGGTACCTTGTGGTCGACCCTACCTCCAGAACTCGGTAAGTTTGTGTTTGCTTATACAGCCATTATAATTAGTTATCCATAGGCCATTTGGGCAAGTACCCTCTGTTGCCCGTCGAGTTGGGTTACCATGGGCCCTAGCCCATTCGACTTTTGTCGGGGCAACTGAGGGCCGTAACATCATAAATGGTAGCCTCAGGGGAAGTACCACGTTTTCACAGAAGAGCAGCTTAAAGCATACATAAATAGCACAGTCCAGCAAAATGCTGCTGTGTCGTATGGTGAGTTTAGAGAACTGGAGAACATTTTTACCATTAATTAGTCTGTTTTAGTCTCCAGGGCAATCTGAACTTTATTCTTAATCGAGAATAGATGTAATGTATATGGGCCACAGTTGGCTTCATTTTGACGGCAATATGTGCTTCAATATAAAGAGTTATCATAATGAAAAAAAAAAACAACGTAGTTGAGGACAAATGCCCACCGGCGTCAATTCCCATCTACCAGTTATGCCTGCCCTAGGCCTACGAATACTAATTCTTACTGAATTCAAACGACCACCAACATCATTTTTTCTCGATATAGCGATATGAAAAAAGTTCACTAACGAGCAAACGCGCGCACACAAATACTGTAGTAGCAGTATTTGGGAATCCAAAACTACTTATGGTACTTTGGTAATTTTAAACAGGAATTTAAAAATACAAGCAGCTTTATTACAATAATTATTTTAAAATTTAGCCTCAGATTTAGGATAGAATTTGTATCACCGCGTAAATCTTGCGGAAATATGCGAACTTAAATGTAAAAATGGAATTCATCGGCAAAGGTCAAATAGAAATAGAAACTTTTTTATTCAATGTAGATTATAAAAATACTTATTGAAGTCACTTTTTTAATTTACCACTGGTTCGCAAAAAAAACCTCTGTGATGGGAAGAACCAGCAAGAAACCCAGCGGGACTATTTTTTTTTAATAATAGCTTACAATCAACAACACAAGACAAATTAGAAATAGCTTGGTAGCGATCACCTTTCCCAGGGGTTATTATCATCTATAAATTCCTTAATATTATAATAACCCTTTTTATACAAACTTAGTTTAATAACATTTTTGAACTTTGTGTATGACAAATTTTGTATATTTTCTGGGATTTTGTTGTAAAAGCGTATACATCGCCCCAAGAATGAATTACTGACTCGGTAGAGTCGAGTAACTGGTACTACTAGCTTGTGTCTGTTCCTAGTATTTACAGAATGAATATCACTTATTTTCGCAAAACTACTTTTATTTTTGTGTACGTACATTACATTTTCATAAATGTATTGAGAGGCCAGAGTTAATATATTAATTTCCTTAAATTTTTGTCTCAGTGACTCTTTTGGTTTTAAATTATATATTGCTCTAATGGCCCTCTTCTGTATATATAGATATTTTGTATATGGCCTCTATCTGTATATATAGATATATATCTGTATATAATAAATAAGAATTTAGAATAAAGGGAGTTAAATAAAACAATACGAGCAAATTTCATTGTGTCTGTTTTATTATCAAGTAATTAACTTCACAGTATGCTGTTTCATATTTTGAAATACGCGTTGGAAAATTACAAACATCAAAATTGTGTCCGGCATCTCACATCAAAATATTGTGTAATACAAATTATAGATTGTATTTAAATGTTGCATCTGCCCAACATTATTTTTTCCTACTTTGTTTTTTTATTTCTTATTTTTATATAATATATAAAGTTTAATACTTTAAAGAAGAATTTACTATTTGATTTTAATAAATAGCATATAATAAATATAAATCGTAACTAAATGGCATTATGCAATATGGAGTGTAGAAGTAAGGAGTACCAACTCCCATAGTACTTAGAACAGTTGAAAAAGTGTCCATCTGTAAGCAGTAAATAACACCTCAAAAACTCTTCACACAAGCGCTGGAGTCGCTACAGGGATGAGTACTTAGCAGACTTTGTCGACGGTTTGAAGTGTCACTCAGTAGCTCTAAAATAAAATTTTATTTAGTAAATATAACCTGAAAAAGTGTTATCTAATATTTTTCAGCACGTTTTTTAAAATTTAGCCCGTAGCTATAGTGGCGCCATCCATATTCAACGGTTTTCTATGGACACTTTTTAATACGCAGTCTGTACTCCTTACTTCCACACTCCATAGTTAGCATATAATATCGACTATTAATCTCGTAATGTTTATATTTTTATTATTATTCATTGCACATTAGAATCAAACGGCATTTGTACGAAAATTGGCTATAGAAGCTTAAATACTAAATTCAGAGGATGCAAATTTAAGGCAGATGCAAGCACTGAGCTAAAATTGTAAACACAGTGTTGCCACAATCGGGTTTTTCTTTATTGACCTTCGAAATTTAAATTAAGCTATAGCAATTTATACAAACATAAATCAAATTAACATTAAACGCCGCAATATAATTTAATTAACAAAAGAATATAACCCCCGTGGCGTACAATTCGATCAGGAATTATAAACTAAATATTGTTTAATGACATAGCACTCGAATACTTATATTTGTCCGCGGCTAACAACACGACCTTCAAATTTATACAGCGTAAACTTTATAGTACAAAATTAGCTCGGATAATCCGTATTGGAACAACATGGCGTACGATGCTTCAATACAAACATATCGAGAGGCCTGTGCCCTGGTGGGACGAAAATTATAGTAATATTATAAAACTTAATTGAACACATTGTTATCATAGAGGTTTCTTTTGTTGATTATATATATGATAATGAAATTAATATTGATCTGAGGAATTCAATGATATATCAACTAAGTAAAATTATACCATATGTATTTTTAACTGATGCTTAAAAATGGAACATGAACATTTTTTTCGTCAAGAAATGTGACGTAGTTATGCAAAAATTATCCAAGTTGCGTGTAGTTAATTTCGAGATATTACCCTCCTGGCAAGCATGGCAGCTATGGCAAACATTATCTCTCCTACGGGGAATTTGTTTACCAGTGGAATTTTGGTAGCCTGTGATGATGATGAGTGTTACATAACCTGATGTGATTTTCATTGATATATTGCTATATTCAAATATTTACTATAGACTCCTTTGACATGAAAATAGCTACCTTGAAATACTACTGTCATCCCATCACATTAACAGGGTTTGATGGCATTTTACATAATCAAGTTCCTTGTATTAAAATGTTTCTCGAATGTTTGTCTATGATGATAAAAGGATTATGATGCTTTATTTAATTGGCTGTTATATAAACAGTTAATAAATCTTGGTTTGATTATCATTAAATTATTATTTATTAGTTTACCGACATTATAAATATAAAGGAAGTACAAAATCAATTCATATTGCTATGGTGATCTGAAACGATACATTGGCTCGTACTTCACTTTTAAGCAATTTTCTTATTTGGAATTATAAAAAAAAACCTAGTTAGTAAAACTATGCGATCAGCCTGTAAATCAATGTGTATTATTCTTAATAATCATGGATCTAAAATATATGGAATGAAAAATATATAACCCGTTGGGATATAAGCTTTTGTGTGTAGGATAGTATGTGGGGATAGTTGCGTGAAACCCGTACGACACGTTGCGTTTAGCCCGTACGCTGGAGCGTTGCAGGCGCGTTGCATTTCACCGCTCCTCCAGCATGATTGTCTCTTGAGGGTACAGTTTGAGAGCCTTCAGTGTACTGCTGTGCGATTCTGTTGTTAACTGCAGAAAAGGTAAAAACTTGAGAATGGACTTTGATATAAACAAATACAAACAAAAATCATCCCGCACAAGTCATTTATCAATCTTACTTTTATAAAAAAGGGTAATGTTGAAGATTAATGGCCGGAGAGTTTTATATATTTTTATTTTATAAAATAAGAGTGACAAAAGAGCACACAGTCCACCTTATGGTAAGTGGTTACTGTGGCACATAGACATCTACATCTATCCTCGATTATGAATGAAAATGCAGATGCGTTGTCACCTCTGAGGACTCAAGACCGATTTACACAATTTAACAAGTACAGTAGCGAGTTAAGTTACAGGACAGTTGACAGTAAACGGTTAAGTGGGCAGTAGCGTTCAAACAATGTTTTCGTGGCGAGTTTAGTTAAGGACATTAGTTCATAGAGTTCGTTGGAGTATGACGTTTCCGAAATCGATTCATCAGAGAAATATTAAATGGTTCTTGTTTAAGAAATTTTCATGAGTGCAGCATCTCGAGCAGGTTTAATTTTACAATTTGAACTTCTACTATTATATAAACATTCGTGTTCAAAATCGTCCTGTACAAATTTATACGTGATATCTTCCGTCCATTTTATTATTAAAACCCAATATAAAACGTATAAATATCCAATAATCAGTATCGTACAAACTTTGTGGCGAGTTTAATTATAAAAGTACAATTGTACGTTTTGGCACGCAAACGTTGCGTCCTGTCAATTTACACTGAACTAAACTCGCTCGTTTACACGAATGGCGAGTTTAGTTGCGGGTGGCGAGAGACGCGCGGGAGGGCAGCACTTCGCCATAGTATAAAGAGAGGGGAAGTACGTTATCTTCATACAAACGCACTGCGCGCGGCTTGTATGTGTGCGCCATAGTATCTATGAGGCGCCGCACGCACACTTAAACACAATCTCGAAGTGTTTCTCAGCGCGCCAGTCGGGGCTAACACCGCACGAGGTTCGCGCGTCACGGCTTTTCGGCACCGCTAAATGAATGAAAAATGTGTGATAATCGCAGGAGAACGTATTGCTAATACAATAATAAAATAATACTGCTCTGAATCTTAATACATTTCTGTATTTGTTAGGAAAACCATTGTTGAAATTTATCGACTAATGATCACTGAATTAGTTATACAGAGATTGTATAATCTTTGGCAAGGGCCGGGCTTTATGCTAATGATTTGGTGACAGTGACAACCCTGAGACAATAGTCAATTATATCGCGGATTGGGCCGGAGATAACCTACTTGGCCTCTTTATACTATGACTTCGCACTTAACTCGCTTATTGCGGTTCAAACGAGGTTCAAACTTAACTCGCCAGGTTCGCAAGTTAACTTGCTACTGTACTTGTCGAAATGTAAATCGGTCTTTAGATGGAATGCCTCGTTTCCAGTGAAAAGGGTCTCCGGTTATCTACACTCTACCAAATGCAACAGCATAAAGCTGCTACCCGGCTGCCGGTTCGGTTTCGCCGGTATACTGTGAGAGCGTAATCCTTCCCTGGTGGAACCGATTAATTTGTTAATTTTGAATGCTGTGTTTAAAATAGAGGATCGACCGGAAAATGATTACGCTAGCACAGATTGCCAGCTTAAAATAGCAGCATAACGCTGCTGTGTTTCGTATGGTAAATTTAGAGAACCGAGTATCTTTTTAAAATGTTTTATTTAATTACACATTTATATATGTCCTGGAATTTTTCAAATAATATTTACATGTAACGATGCACTCCATTTTTGCCATCAGGGGTAGTCACCCCATCTGCATAGTTTATTAGCCACAACATTCACCAGACTTGAACTTCCAGGACTTGAGAAATACTAATATAACAAACACGAACATTGATTGCTTTATAAACATTGTGTATTATATTTATAATCACAGATTTTTGAACTATCCTTCGTTTTAATCGTAGTGTATAATATTGGTGTGACTGCCTTGTTGGTCCAGTGGTTGTAGTAGTGCGACTGCTGATCATGAGGTCCTGGGTTCAAATTCCGGGTCGAGCCAAAAAATTAATTATTGAGTTTTTCCGTCAAGAAATTCTCAGTAGTTGCTCGGAGTCAGGAAGTTGGCGGTGTCTCACCCCCCGTGCCTCGGAAAGCACGTAAAGCCGTTGGTCCTGCGCCTGATCTCTCTCCGGTCGTGTCGGTTCACCGTCCCATCGGATTACGAGAGTGAGGGAATATAGTGTGCACCTGTGCTTGCGCATACACTTGGGCGCTATAATCCTGTCCTGCGCCGATGGCCAGCCTCCGTTGAGGCAGGCCGCCGTGGCCGAAATTCGGTCTGGAGGAAATTATTATTATAATATTGGTGTAAAAAGTAGTTATGCATAAGTAAAATACTCACGTCTCTCCTAGGCCAGCTAGAGATGACCTTGTAATTTTCCTGTGGGTATCCTTTGGATGCGAGGAAATCTAATAGTGCCTGCAATAAATAACAATGATTATAATTTTAAAATATTTTAGATGTAAGAATATGTGATATAACTTTCATAATACAAAAACGTGCGTAACAAAATTATAAAAAAATTGGGTTTTAGCTAAATCACGCGTTGCAAACGTTTTTTACGTGATAAGGAAAGGCTACAGCTATATTATGATTGTAGCATAAATGGTTCGGCTCGAACGGGGTGGGACTACGCTCTCACAGAATACCAGCGTAAAATAGCAGCTTAATGCTGCTGTGATTCGTATGGCAAGTGTACAGAACATGAGACCCTTTTTACTAAAAACGAGGCATTCCAGCTTCTCGGGTGTTTCAAGTCTTCACAGGTAACAACGCATCAGCATTTTGATTCTTAATGGGTGATAAATGTTGATGTCTATGGGATACAGCATCCTCTTACCATCAGATGCAGTTTGTACTCGTTTGTCACCATCATTTTATAAAAAAGTTGTAATCCTTCTACGTGTTTATTTAACAATCCAAGGCATAATAAATATACTTCACATTTTGTCAAATATGCATAATTTAATTAAAGGCCTATAATTTTTTATATTAGATCGGTCACCGCTTTTATGTTCTGAGGCCCTAGACAAAGTTACATTTTCAATAACGATAACGAAATTAGATAACTCCGAAATGTATGAAACTGACATAAGCTTTCGAAATATCACGTGATCGATCGTTTTCGATCGCTTGGTAGACAAGGTGACATAACGTTAAGTCGAAGCGTTCATTGATATCAACTTAAACAAACCATTCTCGATAGCTTGTTAAAGTATTAAGTTTGCTTGGTGAAATTGGAGTGTTTTTGGTGTTAAAACGGTGTTAACTAAAGAATTCAAAGGTAAGTTCCTTAACTTCGTCAATTAATTATGAGTGCCAAAATTACACAAGTTTTTTGGATATCAATGGTTGTGAGTATATTACATATTTATAACGATAAACAAGCGGGAACTGACTGTTTTTTTTTTCATTTTTAAGGAGGATTATAATGGAACCGAGGGTGCGAGCTAGTGGTGAACAACTTTCGACCCTTTTTAAGAAATTATTCACCTAAACCATGAACTTGATTTATATAACTTGAGAATGCTCAATGTAAACAATGACGTGATTCTAACAATCAGTTGCTTATTGCCCTATTCTTTGTTCAATTGTAGTCACGGCGATCTATCAAATCCCCGAAGTGGGCCTCAAGGGCGCTTGAAATCGGAGCGGTTGTGGTGCGAATTGACAACCATATTAAACTCAATTGGTGGGGGAGTAAATAAATCGGCAGACAAATGGAAAATAATGAAAAAAAATCACTGAGACAGACAAAATAGAGGTGACCATGAGCGTAACCAAGTGATACGCATGTCTGCTGACATAACACAAACATGGTTTGACCACTATCAGAGTAAAGATAATACGGAGCAATCAGAACATACTTTATAGGTACGTAATTCATGACGTCTGTATTCCACGGAAGGTTAGGCAGAGTTGTACTGTACACCCACATTTTGCTAATTATGTTACAAGTCCCATGTAATAGGTGGTGAGCCTATTGCCGTTAACCGGACACAAATTCAGACTCCAAGCAGCTACTGAGAAATTTCGAATGAAAAAACACAATAACACTGCCCGACCCGGGAATCGAACCAGCGACTTAGATATCGACTATTATTGAAATTCGTCTGTAAAAATTACTTTAACATAATGTTAGAAATACTTTATTTTCAACTGCTTTAAAAAATTTTTGTACTAATTGTACTTTTTAAAAAAAAATAATCACGAATTGATGGCAACAATACCAACAGCTGACTAACAAACACAATCAGCCATGTTGTTCTGCTTTTCTAAAGGGTTCAAGCGTTCGCTAAGTTGTCGAATGAACGGTTCGACTTCTCAGCGATTTCGAATATCACAAGTGCCACTTGTCTACGCATTGCTAAGATAATATCGTTCGTGTTATTAGTTTTCTTTATCATTGTCTAGCAATTAGCAGTTCGATATCGCTAAGAGCAAATCGATTTTCGAAATGGAATAGACACGGAGCGATTGCCACATTGATTGTTTTGGCCCCCTGGCCTTACAAATGCAGATTTTCAGATGGCTGTTGCCGTTAAGTTAAAGTTACATCCTATATACGTCCCACTGCTGGGCACAGGTCTCTTCTTATTTCTGAGAGGGTTTTAGTCTCAATGCGTGTTGGCGAACTTCATATGTCTTCGAAATATTTTTTTCTTATTTCTCAGACTTGCAGGTTTGCTGTTGAGCACGTGGTAGCTCAGCATATAAAATTGAAATAAAAAATTTCATTGGAGCCGGCGGGGATCAAACCCAAGTTGCTGGCGTACTGTGAAATTTACAGCGCGCGCTTAGCCCCTGAGCTATGACGGCTGGTACGGTATCTTCACTTAAAGATCGTTTAAAAATAATTCAAAAAGTCTTAAGAGGAGTAATACAAAAAACGCGAAATTACAAGGTTTCCTCGTTGAAATTATACGTTTTCCCGTTCAAATGAGATATTTAATTTTGATTGTGATAACATTATTTTCTTTCTCGTGAGGCGTGCACTTTTAGATTTACCAAACTATTTAGAAATATTATCGCATTATGTCATAGTTGAACGTCACTTTTGCCTAACGAAAAATGCTATTTCAGTTCGTAATTGTTTAAAATTGTTGTGGTTACATTAATTATTGTGTATAATATAATGTTGATTCTGCTGGCCACCTCGCGGTCGGCCGCTTGCGCGTGCGTGAGTCTATGTGCATTTCTTTTATAGAAAAGGAGGCAAACAAGCATACAGCTTATCTCAAGGTAAGTCATCACTGCCGCCTATGAATGTCTGCAATATCAGAGGACGGCAGATGGGTTTCCCGCTTTTTAGAAAGACTCGCTGGCGACTGCGAATTCCAAGAGTGCATACGTACCTGCGATTACACAGTACATACTTGTGTGCGTGTGTACGTTTGGTTTATGTGTGCGCACATGCGAGAGTATACGATAAAAGTATTTCTTTCTTTGATTCTATGAGCACGTGCGTGTGCGCGTAGTTGTGTACGTGTGCGTGTGTACGTGAACGTGTGCACGTGATTCATCGCGAGCGTGTCGGTCGCGTAGAAGCGTCGCTCGAGCGCGTCGTGGTGCGGCAGCGGCAAACGCATGCGGTTGCGCGCCACCTCGCCGCGCTCCTCCGCACCGGGGTCGGCCGGTGCGTGCGTGTGTGTGTACGTGTGCACGTGACTCACCGCGAGCGTGTCGGTCGCGTAGAAGCGTCGCTCGAGCGCGTCGTGGTGCGGCGGCGGCAGGCGCATGCGGTTGCGCGCCACCTCGCTACGCTCCTCCGCGCCGGGGTCGGCCGGTGCGTGCGTGTGTGTGTACGTGTGCACGTGACTCACCGCGAGCGTGTCGGTCGCGTAGAAGCGTCGCTCGAGCGCGTCGTGGTGCGGCGGCGGCAGGCGCATGCGGTTGCGCGCCACCTCGCTGCGCTCCTCCGCGCCGGGGTCGGCCGGTGCGTGCGTGTGTGTGTACGTGTGCACGTGACTCACCGCGAGCGTGTCGGTCGCGTAGAAGCGTCGGTCGAGCACGTCGTGGTGCGGCGGCGGCAGGCGCATGCGGTTGCGCGCCACCTCACTGCGCTCCTCCGCGCCGGGGTCGGCTGGTGCGTGCGTGTGTGTGTACGTGTGCACGTGACTCACCGCGAGCGTGTCGGTCGCGTAGAAGCGTCGCTCGAGCGCGTCGTGGTGCGGCAGTGGCAGGCGCAGGCGGATACGCGCCACCTCGCCGCGCTCATCTGCGCCGGGCTCCGCCGGTGCGTACGTGTGTACTTGTACGTGTGCACGTGACTCACCGCGAGCGTGTCGGTCGCGTAGAAGCGTCGCTCGAGGGCGTCGTGGTGCGGCGGCGACAGGCGCACGCGGATGCGCGCCACCTCACGCACTCCTCCGCGCCGGGCTCCGCCGGTGCGTGCGTGCGTGTACTTGTGCGTGTGCACGTGACTCACCGCGAGCGTGTCGGTCGCGTAGAAGCATCGCTCGAGGGCGTCGTGGTGCGGCGGCGGCAGGCGCACGCGGATGCGCGCTACCTCGCCGCGCTCCTCCGCGCCGGGCTCGGCCGGTGCGTGCGTGTGTACGTGTGTACGTGACTTACCGCGAGCGTGTCGGTCGCGTAGAAACGTCGCTCGAGCGCGTCGTGGTGCGGCGGCGGCAGGCGCACGCGGATGCGCGCCACCTCGCCGGGCTCGGCCGGTGCGTGCGTGTGTACGTGTGCACGTGACTTACCGCGAGCGTGTCGGTCGCGTAGAAACGTCGCTCGAGCGCGTCGTGGTGCGGCGGCGGCAGGCGCACGCGGATGCGCGCCACCTCGCCGCGCTCCTCCGCGCCAGGCTCGGCCGGTACGCGCGCCGCCGCGCCCGCTTTTAGCGCCTGCACCAATAATACACTTCAACGTACAGCCTATGTATGCCCACACAACCCTCCCCGTCCTCTCATTTCTGAACGGTTATGGTGCAATTATTCCGCCGCGCTGCTCCAATGCGTGTTCATCAATAACTTTGATAAATATTCATAGTTTCTATGTAGTTTGTTAAGTATTATATACTCAATCAAATCTAAGAAATACCTTTTGACGTTTACATTAATCATTCCGCAATAACTTTGTACAAGCGTGGTTACACGATTTTAAATAACCTTTTACGTAAATCCAAAGAATTATGGCGTTATCTATATTTCACTATAACATGTATAATGAAATATAGATAACTTTATGATTAATTTAACTTGGAGTCTTTCCAACAAAGAAAAATATTTAAAAAATTAATCATATTTAAATATAAAAAAATTAAAGTTTATAAGATGCCGGCTTATACAATAGTAGTATAGAGTCGTTGATAATCATTTGAAAAGGAATTGGCTTCCGATGCAAAAAAAATATTGACAACCGCAAAATAATTATTTTGAGATATGAATGAAAAGAATAATATTTTTAACACTCAAAGATCTTCCTTCTATAGGCAGCCGCTCGAGAATAAGCTGGGTATCACCTTTTAGTACTAACGCTAATGCCATGAATCATTACTTCTTACTCCAGCCATTGCCCCTGGAGAGGATGTCTAAACTGGTACTTTTAAGCAGTCCATGATGATGTCCCGTCAAAGCGTGGTCAAATCATACTTGCATAATGTCGGCGCCGATGCAACCTGGACTGAGGTACACTGACTAATTTTCAATTATTGAAATTTCCCCACAGAGTGCCAGAAGGCGTCAATCGGTGCTGTTGAGTCTGTCTTCAAGCATTGTAGTTTTAAACGTAACTTCTTTTACACCTTTTTCTAACGTTTTCATCTTATAACCGAGAATTTGAAGCCTTGTGTGTCTAACTGTTGACTGATAAAGTTGTGAAGTTGTTCACGACGTGCAGCTTCTTTCTTGGTTACCCAAGTTACAAGCGTTTTATAAAAAAAAAGTGTACTGCCTGAAATTATTGACTCGAGATAAGCTCAGTCAATGCAGCTGCGGCAAATATTTTTATAATAAAAATATGGCAATTGGTTGTAAGTACCGATTAAAAAAATATTAGTTACAGGTGGTTATTTTATTTCTTAGAACAGGTTGCAAACGAACTATTTATTTATTTATACCACTATGATAGCGTTAGTAGATATAATCGATTATTAACCAACATCGCTTAACAATCGATTACTGTGAAACAATTAGAATATTTATGTGTACTTATTTCAACACTAAGGTTCATAAATTATGAAAAAGATATCAAATAGATTACAATAAATTAATTAGATAACATAAAAATGACACATCAAAAATCTTCCACCCACTGAAATCCTTGTATAATGGAAGATCAACGTCGTTTAGTCGCTATACTCACAGTACCATAGTGCGAGCGCGTGAATAGAGATATGAAACGAAATATCACCCGGGTAGATCATCGCCCGCTCGGAGCGTAAAATACTCAAATTTGCGTAACGCTGAAATGTAAGAGGGCTCTTAACTAAATTGTCTAAACATGTCTTATAAAAAAGAGATTATGCCATCAGGCCTGGTGTCAAATTTTATAATTTCCTATGAATATTTTTTCTATGTCACTTATACTAAAAAAATATGTTGGTATTGATTGTCAAGGTTCGGCTGGCAGGTTAGGAATAAGCAAAGTGTAAACATATATCGAATAAATTACAAACAGATTTTCATCAGAGTCCTCATATTTCGTCACAGATGATACGCGCATGTGATTTTATAATGACTGTGTAAGACCAAAAAAGCGGGGTTTATTGAAAATTGAATCTTCAACCTTACATATGTATAAAAGTGATAGCATTTGTTTTTTTTTGTATCTCTATGGCCCATTCTCTGAGCAATGAAAAAGTCATCATATTATGATTGCATTTTTTAGAGGGGAGTTCAGTCCAAGTACCAAATAGGTAATTTGCTATAAGAAATTTGTTGGGTTTAATTGAATTATCAATTTGGAATACCGTTTATAAATTATACTCAGATCAATAAGGTTTCATAAATGAAATTATAGTCACTTATGAAATATCTAAAATAAAAAATACAGGTACCATCATATAAAATTTCGCTATAAATAATGGGCTATGGAGAACTTTGATAGTGAAGAAATTTAAATAGTTTGATTTATGTTATATAAATAACTTTCAATTTTTTGTAAAGCATTGCCGTTAATATCTATACGATAAAGTTTCTTTATCAATAGTAAGCAACTTATTGAATCAAATGCCTTTTTATATCAATAACATCTATGTTATATTTTTATTTTGGTCATTACCATTACCGTTTCGGCTAAGGAATTCGATCTGGGGTGGAAACCATACCGATAATTTGAAATAAAAGTTAATTGATTCAAGGTATTTTTTTAAAAGATAATGTAATCCTTTTTCAAAAACTTTTGAAATTATTGACCAAACAGAAATGGGATGGTGTTACTGGGGTCAGATTTTAAACCAAATTGGTATAGGAATGTAACTTTAGAGGTTTTAAGATCGTCAAGTTATACTAACTTACCTCTTTTCTTGCTTCCTCCATTAGCCTTTCCGTTTCCGCTCGCTCGAGCTCTTGATTTCTTTCTAATTCTTGTTGTTTCTTTATTTCTTCTTTGGCTCTGTAAGCAAAAAATACATTAGTGTTAGGTATGGGTATCTGAGCAGCAAAACATTTGAAATATAGGTTTTTAACATGCTGTCTATATGATTTTTCTTTCAATTTTAAGTTCACTCAATGTGTTTGTTGAATATCTGTATGAAATGGCGGTATAACGGGATAATTTTAGAAAGTTCCTTCCTAGTTTATATAATGATCAATTTATAAAAAAAAACCTGATTAAAAGAAAAGAATCATTAAAATTGGTTCATAATTGGAGAAGATATCGCGTAACATAAATACAAAAAAAAAACATTCAATAGAATTGAGAACTTCTTTTTTTTAAGTCGGCTAGCAAGCACAATTTATCACCTGTCGGCTTCAAGACTCTGTTGATATGCTTCGTCTTGCTCCCGTTTAACACGTTGTCGCGCGTCTCTTTCTCTCTCTAGTCTTGCGTCCTCTTCCCTCTGAACCGCGAATCGCTCTATCGCCTCTACTAAACCACCGACTAGTTCCGAGACACCTACATTCCCTGTAAGTAAAAATAAACTAACAACAAATTGCTCAAGCAAATTCCTAGAAAATTTACAAGGGTTCTCTTTTATTAAATTTATTATTAAACGAAGATTTTTCAAAAAAAGCCTTACAATATGTTTACATTGTTGATAATGCCCCTGGAAATGAGGTGATCGCTTCTAGGCTTTTTTTAAAGTAAATTTTGTAAATAGTTGTACAATCCACTGTATATCGTACAATGTTACTGCGAAAAAAAGTTCCGCGGAGTTTCTTGCTGGTTCCCGGGACAGAGGCTTTTTTTCAAAGCCAGTGGTAAAAAAGTTAAAAATGACTATTAATAACTATTATTAATCTATATTGAATAAAAATTATTTATCTCTATTCTATTCCAATTATAATTTTTATCTATTGGCAAATAATACAGCAAAGAAAATCCAGTGCAGATCATCATTACATTTTTATGATTTTCTTTTTCTATTTATTTGATAATAATTTTACAATATTTAGATTGGTATTTTACAGTATAAACATAAGCTATACAGCTTTACCGTATACGGATGCCATCAACATACACAGCATGATAATTATTATGCCTAATAATTATGCCATACATCATAATGTTGTGATGCACGCATTGACCCGCGCTCCCCGTACAGTCAAAAAACTGGTTTCCTCTCGGTGACGTTATTTGCCTACCTGGCTTGACGCGTCGAGTTCGGCAGTGATACTAATTAATGATATTAAAGATAAACTTATTTTATATTATTAAATAATTATTGTTGAGTTGAGTTGAGTGGATAGGAATGTGCTATGGCAAACACTGAACTCATTTGGGTTGAGCGCTGGCTTGATACAGGCATTGGAGTCTCTTTATAGGGACTCTAGTGCTTGTGTTAGGATCAACAGGGTCTACTCGGACTGGTTTGGCATCCATAAAGGTGTCAGACAGGGCTGTGTGGCTTCCCCGTGGCTGTTCAACCTATTTATGGACAGTTGTTTGCAAAATTTGAAAGTTGAAGAATGCGGATTAAGAATGGGTGAGTTAACCATCAAATGCCTTTTGTACGCCGATGATCAAGTTATCCTTGCGTCGTCGGCGGCCGAGTTGCAAATGATGGTTACATTAATGAATAGATCATTAAAAGAAAGGGGTATGAAAGTGAACGCAAGTAAGACAAAAATTATGGTTTTTGAAAGAGATGAAAGTAAAACGATATGTGAAATAAGAATAGAAGGGGAGTTGATCGAGCAAGTAGATGAGTTTGTATATTTGGGTTGCGTATTTAGCAGGGATGGGAGATATGATAAGGATATAGAACGACGAGTGAACGCAGGAAACAGAGTAAATGGAGCCCTGCACTCTATTGTGAAGAGTCAAAATATGTCGAAAAAGGCACGTATGGCAATTCACAATGCTGTGTTGGTCCCTACTTTAACGTATGGTAGTGAAAGTTGGGTATGGCAGAAGAAGCACGAGAGTAGAATAAATGCAGTAGAAATGCGGTCGTTAAGGAGTATGTTAGGGCTGAATCTGAATGACAGGGTGAAAAATTGTGTGATAAGAGAAGAGTGTGGTTTGCAAGATGATGTTGTGACCAGGATTAAGAAAGGAATGCTTCGGTGGTTTGGTCATGTGGAAAGAATGGATGAGGAAAGAGTGACAAAGAAAATTTATGTTGCAGAAGTGAATGGCAGAGTCGGAAAAGGACGTCCTAGGCGAAAATTTATCGACCAAATTGGCGATTTATTGAAAACGGGCCAAATTAGGAGTACCCTTAACCGACGAGCATGCATGCGTAGGTGTATGGATGTGAAGGAGGCGAGAGAGGTGTGTCAGGATCGTGCCAAATGGAAGTCTGTAGTCTCTGCCTACCCCTCTGGGTGACAGGCGTGAGTGTTTATGTTTAATAATTATTGTATATGTAACATTATATATATGCGATATGTAAATACGTAATATATATAAAAAGGAAGCAAGACTAACCGTTGATCACTGAGTAAATTTCAGTATTGGACCGAACGCGCATAATAATGACTAAAGCTGGCAATCTGTCCACTGGGATGCTGCGTATCGTCATACTTGCTACAGGACCGAGTGCGTTTGCGATTGAGTTTAGTAACCTGCGGACAAAATACACAACATACAAATAATTTCGTAAACTATATTTCATCATTCATCATCATCATTACAGCCCTTCACAAGTCCACTGCTGAACATAGGCTTCCCCCAAGTAATGCCACAAAGCACGGTCCTGAGCCACCTGCATCCATCGACTTCCTGCATGTCTTACCAGGTCGTCACTCCATCTAGTGGTGGGTCGCCCTACACTACGCCTACCGGTACGAGGCTGCCACTCGAGAACCTTTCTTCCCCATCGGTTATCGGTTCTTCGAGCTATATGGCCGGCCCATTGCCACTTCAGCTTACTAATCTGTTGGGCTATGTCGGTCACTCTGGTTTTACTGCGGATATCCTCATTTCTGAGTCTATCACACAGAGAAACTCCGAGCATATCCCTCTCCATAGCTCGCTGAGCGACCTTGAGCGTCCTCATACGGCCAAACTATATTCGAGAAATAAAAAATATTTGTAGGTCATAAGAAGTCCACCAATCATATTTGAGAAGGGTGGCAAGAATAGTGAACGATAATTAAGGCTAGTGATACTCTTAATGTTAAAACTTAAAAGTCCCTGACAAATATTGTGCTGTGCTTTCCAATTATGATTGTGATGACGGCTTTAGCATAACTGTCACCGCGCAGTAGACGTCTACGATAAAATGCACAGTTGATGTCTGAAGAATATAAGCCTCGCCCAGCTTGAGCGTACAGCTGATGTTTGATAAATATAAGACCCGCTCATGTAGGGCGCACAATTTAAGGCCTATAAATATAAGCCCTGCCTACTTTGTGTTTACAATTAATGTATGATAAATAAAAGTCCCGTCCACATTTACATGACTGTATCAGAGAACAGTTGTTCGCTGAGAGCCACATTGAGCTTACAGCTGATATTCAATAAATATGGGCCCCGCGCATCTTGAGCGTATTGCTGATACTCGATAATTATTTGCTCCACCCACCTTGAGCTTGAAGTAATTTAAGACAAATGTAAGTTCCGCCCACATTGAGCACACAACTGATATTCGACAAATATAAGCCCCTCCTACATGAGCACACACGGATGACTTACAGAGAAATTAAAGCGACAGACCACTAAATACTTTTCTTTACATGATATGTATGGAAGTGTAGATGGGGACATTTGGGAGAATGAGAATAAAAGTAAATACCGTATTAATTTCTAGAATTGAAATAAAACCTTTTGTATATTTGAAATAAAAATAACTTTTCCAAAAACTGAAAACGCATATTTAGTCAATAACTCAAATATAAATAAGCTTTTCATAGTTTTGCAAAGCAACATTAATATTATAGCGTTATATAACACTCTGTGCAAATTGGCATCAGTACAAAGCTGTGGCAATAATTGAATGATTCAAGCTGAACATTGGACTTAGCGGCGCGTATGGTGCTGATGATGGTTGACCTAAATACCTGGTATGTAGAATATAGAAGACTTACATGTTATTATTGTCTGGATGCGTGAGGTCCCAGCCATAGACTACGAAATTGGCTGCAAGGGTCTGTAGCACCGTATCGCAACCAAGCAGCTGCGCGCAGAACACGTTGGACAACACCGACTGTTCGTGATGGAGATACACACCTAGTAGTTTTCTCTGGAAACACAAAATTTCTTTTAAATAAGTTGTTGACGAAAGCGTGGTTGTGTTTAAGTAATAAAAATTGGCTATAAAATATTGGCGAAAGCAAAATTACTACCTATATATACGTAAATATATACGGATATGTACGTCCCACAACTGGGCTCAGGTCTTCTGTGATTTTTAGAGGGGTAATTAGTCCGCCCCATAACTCCACATGATAGATTTCACATGCCCTCGAAAGTTTTCATTGTTCAGACATGAAATTTTTTCTAACAAAACTTTCTTCACCAATTCACCACCGAGTATGTGGTAAATTATCTTTAAAAAGCTTTTTTGTTCTTATGTCAGCAAGCAGCTTTAAAGGCGAGTTATGACTCGCCCTGTGATTACCTTTTTGTTTACAAAGCGTAACGATATTGCCACTTACATCCGATTATGTGAGGGTCCATGTTCTTCAGGGGAAAAGTCTGATAATGATAATAACTAAATAATAATTTGAATGATAATAACTAAATTAGAATTTACTTAAAAATTCCTATCTTACAATCCAAGAATGATAGAATCCCAAAACAATTTGTGTTCGATAAGAAGTACAGGATACAATAGAAGGAAACTGACCATCTGGAAGGATTGGGTCTAGTTTTAACGTTGGGAAGAGAGCTCAAAGTTTTCACGGATGGTTCATCGTCAAGACAAATTAAGGTGTGGGGTCTGGGGCTTTCTCTGAAGACATTAATATCCACATATGCACACCGCTGAGTACCCACAACACAGCTTTCCAGGCTGAATGCATGGGTATCATCCAAGCGGCCATCAATAGACGCTAGGAAGGTGAAAGACTTCTCCATCAGAATACTGAACGACAGTATGGTGGTACTACAAGCTCTGAGTAGCAATGTGACGAACATGGGACTGATATACGAGTGCCATCAACGATTGAATGAGGTATGTAAGCACAACAATGTGACTCTGCAATGGAGGGGGGCGGCTCTGGTGGGGGGAGGGTTTTTCGCGAACTAAATCCAATCCCCTTTGGCACGTTCACTGGTATGTAGATACTTCAATAATTTACACGCTTAAATTTGGAAAAATTTAGAACAAGTCACAGATCAGGATAGTAACAAGTGCTATCACAGGACATGGCTCTTTTAACAAACATTTGTTCACTATAGGTGTTACTGATAGCCCCCCTGTGTAGGGCATTCATGGGAGAGGAAGAAACGGCGGCTCACGTGTTGTTGACATGTCCAGAAGTCGCTTCATACAGGGCTAAACATCTCGGCACGCCGGGATCGCTCCCCCGAAGTTGCTTGCAACATCAAGGGACTGTTGAACTTCTTCGGGGAAATATCATGTCTCGAATAACTACATTATTCCTGCCTACACGTAAAATACGCGCTTAGAGGTGGAGTTGCGGAAAACAGCCCCTCGTATATTCATTCGTATATTCGCCGTATATTTAAATAAAACCCTCGCAAAAGAACACAGCTGATTTTCGAAATATTATAAGCTCATACTGCGTAGATTGGACCAAAATTTATATGTTTTAAACTGAAGGTAGCCGTGGGTAAACTATGAGATCGGAAAGTCGAAAACCTCAGTCGCTCCGTGACCATGGATGCTGTAAAGTACTCGAAACATCGGGAAATTAAAAAGGTAAATATAAGCGATAAAATCCGTAATACTAGCTCCATTTAAATGTGTATTATTCGCAAAAACAGAAATCCACAGTACCATAGTTGCTTAAAACATTTCCATAACTTACCTCTTTGGCAGGTTTTAAACAGGATTCCTTAATTGCATCTTGGAGGGTCCCTTCGAAGAAGTTGGGTGTATTAGGGCCATATCGCGCGCGGAAACGTTGTGCGAATTCTATGCAGCCTAACGCTTCGTCGTCTATGTGCTCCGACACTAAAACAAAAGTTTTATTAGTCTACAGAATGCCCGCGGCTTCGCTCGCGCTTGTTTGTAAGTACAAATTCTATTCCATTCCATTTCCATTGCTGGTTAAGCAAAATGTATAGTTACAACCTGTTTATATCCCACTGCTGAGCACAGTACTCCCCTCATATCTGAGAGGGAAAAAATTTAAATTGCAATTAACGATTTGCAGCTTTTTGGATGTTGATTTAACACTCACTTGTGCTAAAATAAAGCAGAATTATAGCCGTTATTACACGCTGGTATTCAGTATGGGCGTGGCCGTGGTCTTTCCCCGGTTGAACCGACGTACATACTGTAACCGTAATATGCTACATCGAGGCCATACTGCATACATAGAATACTATAATACACAATAGAATGGCTGTCAACCTTATTTTGTAGGAAGTTTGGCGTCGCCGGGAGCACACATACAAACAATTACGTCATATATCAGTTAATCACTACTACAAACCCGATTCGCTGTGTTGACAGATGGATTTTAATACATATTTTTTTTGTAAATTACAGGGTACAATTTGGCATTTTCTAAATAATTTGCATGTGAAATTTTGAAACGATTGTAACGTCAAAACACATCTCGTGTTGACAGTTATATGTGTGAATTGACGTGTTAGTGGCATTTTAGCGGCTACACGGGCTCCGCCCACTCCCCTGTTCTATTATGTATGTATTATAGTGTTACGAGCTTGAGGTTCGTGACAATAAAAGTTGCCGATAAAATTACCTAAATTAACACTTTAATTTACTTTACACAAATTAAAACTAAAAACACTAATAATTAAACACACTTAATTCCGCTCCGAAGCTTCGCTTGTGTCGCCGAGTTCAACTCTAACTCGATCGCATCTTGCAGCGCCTATATATTTAAATTAGCAAAGAAATATCCAGAATGTTCAAGTAAACACGGGCAAGGTACCGAGCGTTCGAGTTTCGACTAGGCGCTGTCGGTTGAGTAATTTGTGATGTCATTTTCTCAATGCTCCCCTCGCTCTCGTTCCTGACACTAGATGGCGCTAGTGTATCGTTGACTGGAGCGCGTAACACTGCCCCCTCCTAAGACATGCTCGTCCCGAGCATTATCGGCCCCATAATAACGCGCCAAGCGATTCACATGGACGATCTTAGGAGTCCCTCTTGCGCCTTTCTGTAACGGCTCCGCAATGTCAAGGGCTGTCCTATCCCGTGGTGCACCAACATTGTACAATTTCGGTGCTCCTCTACTACGTGTCCGAGGTCCCCGCTCGGCCGCACAACTTGTACATGTACGACACCAATCCTCGACATCGTCACGATAATGGACCCAGTAAAACTGTTCTCGGACCTTCAGTAGAGTTCGTTTAACTCCCAGATGGACTATTGAACGACCATTATGGCACAACTGTAGAACATTCGGCACTTTAGCTTTAGGGACAACCATTTGCAAACGACAGCTGTCTCTTCGACCATTGTCCCATTTACGGCACAGGACTCCATCCTGAATCAGCAAGCTGTCCCATTGGGCCCAATAGCTTTTCGTGGTTGAACTCATCGCTGAGACGTCCCTCCACTTAGGCTTGGTAGCACGGGCCTTCATCCATCCCAGAATCGGCTTGATGTCCGGATCTTCCTGCTGTGCATGTCGTAGGTTGTCCTTCCACCCGTTGCTGAGGTGGTCTGTCCTGAGCATCCTCACGGATACCACCTCCTTACTCTCTTGCCTACTACAATGGTTGCAATCTTCAGGACAAGGTCTTCTTGACCATGCATCTGCGTTGCCGTGAGATTTCCCGCTGCAGTGTCTGATAGTAAAGTCGTATTCCTGCTGCTGCTGGGCGGTGCTGTTAGCCGCACTTCCTTTCTGAGACCGTTCACCTTCCCTTCGTAGGGTGTGCTCAGGGTAGCTGGACCGAAGATGGTCCCTTTCCCCACAGCCATAGCACCTAGGGCTGTATCTTTTATTGTGGTCGCGAACCGTAACTGCTGTAACCTCCCTAGCGTGAGGTGAACGATGATCCTGTCGCCGCCAGGCAGTGTCGTTAGCTGCACTACCCTCTCGAGATCGATCAACTCTCCTTTCAACGGTGCGCTTAGGGTAGCTGATTCGAAGATGGCCCTTTTTCCCACAGCCATAGCACCTTGGGCTGTATCCTTTGTTGCGGTCGCGAACTGTAGCTGCTGCGACCTCCCTGACGCGATGGGAACGATGATCCTGCCGCACGGCTTCCACTTCCAGTGCATGGGCCAAGGCGTCCTTAAGCGTCTCGTGGTGCCCGAGCCTCACAGCAGCTCTGACTTCCAGGTCGCGGATGCCGTCGATGAATGTCTGCACCAGGTTCCCTTCAATGAGCGCAGGTACAGACCGGTATGCTTTTCGCACCAGCTTCTCCACTTCTAGAGCCCACTGCTGCAGGTTTTCGTTGATGCGCTGCACACGATCTTTAAGCTGCGCACGAAAGACGTGTTCCAGGTGAGCGTCGCCATATCTCGCCTCCAATGCCTCAAGGAGTTGCTCATAAGTCACTTCCTCACCGAGAGCTTCCAGAACTGTTAAGGCCTGGTCGCGCAGGCCTAGTGTGAGAGCAGTCATGGCCTGACTTTTATTCCAGCCGTTCGCCTTCATAACAGCCTCGAACTGGATTTTGTAGGCTGACCAGGAAGAAGTCCCGTCGAATGGTGGCACCTTGAACCCACGTAGCGAAGGTGTAATAGCTACTACGGGAGCTGTAGTTCCATCCCCCAGTTTGAGGTCGTCCAGCGTTTTCTTCACGTCAGCCATCACGTAATCAACCCGATTGTTTACTTGGTCGATTTGGGTTTTAGCTTCCTTGATTTGGGTTTCAGCTTCCGACAGGCGGTTGTCATGTTGAGCAACCCTATCCTTCACCTCCCTAATCTCTTTCCCGAAGTTAGCGTGAATGTCCTTCACGAGGAGCATCTGCTCTTCCTGTCGGCGGGCCTGTTCCTCCTGCTGCTCTTTCAACCAACGGGCCTGTTCCTCCTGTCGGCGAGCCTGTTCCTCCTGTCGGCGAGCCTGTTCCTCCTGTCGGCGAGCCTGTTCCTGCAGCATCACCATCAGAGCACCTAAATCGGGTGCTGCAGATGGAGGAGCTACTGACGGGCCTGCAGCCGGCGGCTGGCCCTCCGACGTCAGCGGCGTTGCACCACCAAATCTTCTTTGGTCCGTCTCCTGCTGGCGTTGATTTCGGGTAAGGACACCCTCCGTTTCCTCCTTAGGTAAAATCGGCATGATTTTATCCTACTTCTGACACCAATTGTTACGAGCTTGAGGTTCGTGACAATAAAAGTTGCCGATAAAATTACCTAAATTAACACTTTAATTTACTTTACACAAATTAAAACTAAAAACACTAATAATTAAACACACTTAATTCCGCTCCGAAGCTTCGCTTGTGTCGCCGAGTTCAACTCTAACTCGATCGCATCTTGCAGCGCCTATATATTTAAATTAGCAAAGAAATATCCAGAATGTTCAAGTAAACACGGGCAAGGTACCGAGCGTTCGAGTTTCGACTAGGCGCTGTCGGTTGAGTAATTTGTGATGTCATTTTCTCAATGCTCCCCTCGCTCTCGTTCCTGACACTAGATGGCGCTAGTGTATCGTTGACTGGAGCGCGTAACAATAGTATTCTATGACTGCATAGAATTACACATTCTTAAGGTTAGAGGTAAGGGTGGGATTAACAGTGTATGGGTGTTGTAGAAATATAGCCCATATAGTCTCATGGATGACGTAAGAGGAAAAACTGTTGCCAAACCGCATGCAGCATGGCAAATATCCCCATTATGAGGCATTATATGGGGTGGACTGGCTATGTACAGCAACATACTTTAATAAGCTGTGGTGAATGCATGAATGATGGGATAAAGAAGATTATTATAATTTATTTTTATTAAAGGAAATGGTTTATTTTCTACAGTATAAAGATTGTACTAGTAGTATTTCATATGTGGTATAGCCACGGTGAAGCTATATTATGGTTGTAGCATGAATGAGTCAGATCGACCGGGGAAGGACCACGCTCTCCAGAATACCAGCGTAAAATAGCAGCTTAATACTGCTGTGTTTCGTATGGTGAGTGTAAAGATCCGGAGACCCTTTTTTACTGGAAACGAGGCATTCCATCTTAGTCCTCAGGGGTGACAACGCATCTGAGTTTTGATTCTTCATCGAGGATAAATGTAGATGTCTATGGGCCACCGTATCCACTTACCATCAGGTGGACTGTGTGCTCATTTGTCAGTCTTATTCTATAAAAAAGAACCTATTTAACAAGAAGAACTTACTTAACGGCTGCAATCTTTCAGACTGAACAAGATCCACGAACATGTCGTCTTCAGCTGTGAATCCATCACCGCCGTCCTCTATTTCCTCTACCGAACTATTTTCACTATCTGAACTCTCTACTATTATCTGTGAACAATCATTGTGCGATTAAATTAACGGGATTTCTGTCACCGCTTGGATTTCTTTTATTGGTTATAAACACATCAACACGGTTAGGGTCATTCCATATCAATTCAACACAATTTTGGGAGATTTTCAGAATTGATATCTCAGATTTTCACGATTCTTTATACAGCAATATATTATAGATTTATAAAAAATACATAATTTGAGTTATGTAGCACCATTATTTTTGAAGTTAATAATTTTTAAAGATTTAAATTTTTATGACAAAATTTCATGTTTTAAGAGGTGAGAGTAAGTCAGCTCAAATTCTAATTTCGCCCCCACTTCCCCGCGCGTCGTATGCTATGTACCGACATGTTTGTAATCACTAATACTCTAAGTAGATAGGTCGTTAGATACTTATTTCATTAGGTTTATCATATTTATGCCTGTTTCTTAACGCCAACCCAGTCGCTTCTTATTTTTATATCGGTTATTTCCCATTTTAATTTTACGTCTTCCTGTTGCGTAATGTGTTTTCTGATCGTAAGCGACACAACTTCTCCCTTCAAAAGCCGGAGCAATACTAACGGAGCGACAGGAATCAAGCTTACGCACCGATAGTTTAGGTAATTTCTTTTTACAGTGAAAATAATGGTATTTAAAAAAAAGTAAATAACATAAGCACTGCTTTATAGTTAGTTCAGGTAGTATGCAAAGTTTCATGATCTTATTTAAAGTATTTTATGAATAACAGCGGTTTATTGTTCAGTTTGGAGGTAACTTTGGATTTTTTTTTCTATCGAGAAAATTTTACGGAATCGTGTTTTCGTCTAACATAAACCTTAACATTAATCCTCAACTTTACCATATATTTATTTCAAAATTAATGCTGCAATACTTTCGGCATAACGGAGGATCTTGCTAAGCCATTTGAGTTTATATTTCCCCTTAACACCTTTGATTGATTGATTTGGATGCCTGTAGGCTGGCAACCAATGATAATATAAACTTTTTTAATATGATATACCACAAGATAGGATTACAATAAAAAAAAATTAAAATTTTAATTTAATTACATTTTAAAATTTAAGTTTTTAAAAAAGTGGCTATTTTAAAAACTACAAAAAATTATCAAATATAGTTTATAATGTCTTAATACATATAGCAAATTTCTATCATGGGATCTCAATGGGATCAAGAGATACAGGGCTTCAGAAATACACGTTTTGTGAAAATTACCAGAATTAGTATTGTTTCAGAAAATTCTGAATAGTTCATTGGATTGGATAAGTTTCGTACTCTTCCCCCGAAGGGGTCCAGCCTTGTCGTGGCGGGGGGCTTAGTAGCCGCAGCCGCATGGCTACTAAGCCCCGCCACCGGTGGTCACCCGCGGTGAACTAAGAGGTACTCACACGGCTGGACCGAGGTGTAGGGCCAGCCCAAGGAGATCACTCCGGGTGGGCTTGGCGAGCCTACTTCGGATGTGTGTTCAGTCGAGATGGAGTCGCAGAGGAAGAGGAGTGTTAGTATGGCGATGCGCCACTCGCCCTATCCTCCGCGACTCTAAGGGAGCTGCATCGTTAATCAATGCGGTGGTGGTGGGGCTGCGGGAGGAGAAGAGAGTCGGTATTGCGAGGCGCCGCTCTCCCTACCTTCCGCAGCCGAATCTTGATTGGCGGCGGAACCATAGACCAGATCCATTGCTGGGGTCAGGAAGATATAGTGCTTCTGAGTGCTCGTTTTTCCTGGCTCCATGGCCTTCGCGCATCGGACACTAGAGCATCTGTTACGCATGTGAACATGGAGGCTGCGCCATGTGTTCTGGTGCGCTTTACCTGAGTAGAAGATGAGGGAGGAGCAGTCCTCCACCGAGAAGGGACGCCATGGGGCGGCCAGCGCTGGTGGGGCCGTTGGGACCTCGGATAACCCTATTATATTCCAGCGCAACTTGTTATCTCTTCCTCCAGCTCCAGGATCTTCTCGTCAGTCCTCAGGGTGCGTGCGTTGTATGTTGCCAGGTCAAATCGTCTTAGGTGGCAACCGATCCTCCAACGGAGATTCTTAGCACCCCTGCTCCGCCGTTACATTGGTCGCCACCGAAGCCAAGAATGGCGGAGCTGCCGGCGACAGAGGACCGTCTCTTTGTAGCTTTTATCATGGGAGGTATATTGCCATATTTGCCACGCTTGGCGAGCGGGTTGGCAACCGCATTTTTTTTGTTGTACAATTGCTGTTATCAGGAAGATGCGGCTGTCCGTCGCCTGCCTGTTTAACTCTGTCGCCTTTTACGTCACCCACGGGAAAATGTGGGGTAGCGGATAATCTAAGCCGCCACTACAGGGCAAGACAATCTTTCACAGAATACCAGCGTAAAATAGCAGCTCAATGCTGCTGTGCTTCATATGGTGAGCGTAGAAATCCAGAGACATTTTTTACTGATATCGGGGCATTCTATGTAGTGACAACGATCTACATTTTGTTTCCTAATGGAGTATAGATTTTGGTGTCTGTAGTTCACAGCATCCGCTTACCATCAGGTGGACTGTTTGTTCTTTTGTCACACTTTTTAATATAAAAATAACACATATATACTTTAAACTTACCCTTTTATATTCTTTCTGTTTGTTTGTCGGTGCTCGCTTAACTGTAAGTTCGTGTTGTGGCAGGTCTAACCCCACCATTGCTAATACGGTGTCGTCCAAACCTGTTACTGTAGGCCAGCCTGTCCAAACCTGTCGGGATATTTTTACTTTAAAGCTAGGGGTCCATTAGGCACGAGAGAATATTTTTGTGTATTTTTGTATAAGGCGAACTTTTTGGAGACAGTCGTAGCTGAGTCAAGTGAGTGTACCATAGAGTGATCAGTGTAAAGCTCTGACGAAGAATAATATTTATTTAATGTTTTGTATGATGAGGTGGATTTTATAATACATGTAAGAATTAATACATAATACAATACAAGAAAAGGACACTTTGTGGTAAATTGTATCACATTTCTTTGATCTGAAAAATGATCTGTTAAAATTTTTCGGCTCTTTTACGTAAATTCCGTCAGTGGACTGATCGTGTTCCGCGTCCACTGAGATGAAGCGGGCCGGACAGTATCGTAGTTATGGAAAAATGACGCACGATTATTGCGCTGCGATGCGACCCGCCCTACCGATGTCTAGCATGAAGATGCACGGCTTAGTTATCAGAGTACCTCAGTACTACACCATCGACCTTAGGTTTGATATTCTGTTGGAACCGACATTTATTCAAAAAATTGGAAAATATAATCACAAGGTACCGGTTTAGCACTGTTGGATCATGGATCCTAGATTTTAATCTCAGCTAATGCCCTGGCTTATATATATATATATATATATATATATATATATATATATATATATATATATATATATATATATATATGGATATATATATATATAGGAGTTTGATTGGCTATTGTTTTTGTTCTCGCATCTCTAACACAGCATGAGGCTCTTTCTCTAACCTTAATGGAAGTGTTATTATGTATTTTTCAATATGATTTGAGATACTGATGTGGGTTGAGAGCGCAGATTGTTACATCTCTCACGCATGGCAGTTTGTTTGGAATAAATGGTTCTTTTCTTTAAAAAGTTCATACATAGTTTTAGCCAATAGGTGTTTATCAAAAAGATAAATCAGGTTTGTTGTTCAAAAATTTATTTATTTATTTATTAACTCCAGCGACAAATACAAACTAACATAAGAAAAGTTTAGTTTAGAAAAGTTCATTTCCAGTCTTGGAAAAGTGCGCGCAAGAGGAACAGGGGAGGTGTTGTCCCTTGAGCAGCGGTCACAAAGGTTAGATTGGCACTGGTGGGGCTGCAGATATCTGTGCTCCGTACCCCTTATATGTGACGAGCATAAGACACTGAGTTAAAGTCAGTGAAAGTTCAACATAATCCATCCTTGCCTCTGCCAGGTGATTTGCATCTATTCATAAAAATGCATGTTATAATAATCGACTTAAAAACTTTTCTTTCACTTATAAGAGGGTTTTTGGAGCATACATTATGTGTGTTTGCCCGGCAGTGGGTATATTACTTCTACATTTTTATTATATCACTGTATAAGCCAAGGTCTCACCTGATGTCGCACAGGTATATCGGTGAGGGAGTATATATCGTTCTTCACTTCTTGAACTGTCTTCGTGCCAGGATACTTCAACGTGTACTCCTTTTCGTCGTGTTTCACTCGGAGGGTGTACGTCGCTGTTAATCTCTCCGCCACCCTGATTATAATGAAATAAAAACTTTTTATTTTCGACGTAAGACATTAAAAATTTAGTTTTTTTTTCTATTCTACTACTGTTTCAAAATGAGGTTCCTATGCCCGGCGAAGAATGGCCAAAGAAACTTCCCGGGTATCATCTTTTATCTTTTTTTTAACCTAATATGACATTTTTAATAAAAGTTGAAAAGGATTTTTTATAGCATTGAGTCCATGTACTACGACAATGCTGTGGTCCATGGACATCCACATTTATCGTCAGTTAAGAATCACCACAGCACAGCATTGTCACCCCTGTGGACTAAGGTGGAATGCATCGATGCCAGTAAAAAGGGTCTCCAGTTCTCTACACTCACCATACGAAACACAGTTGCGTTACGCTGCTATTTTACGCTGGTATTTTGTGAGAGCGTGGACCTGCCCAGGTCGAGCCGACCCATTTGTGCTACAAGTATAACAAAGCTGCAGCGTCGCTCTACCACATATAAATTTAATAGTTAATAAATTAATCTAAATCAATAGACCAAAGAATAGAATAGGTAACCAAAGCACCATTTTAAAATTTAAAATTTTGTGTGCATGTAAAACTTAAGTACTTAATTGCAATAGATCAATTTAAATCTCTAGAGTTTAAAACATTTCGAACGTTTAACAAAAATATTAGAATTACTTCGCGAAAGAAATATGTTGAGCATAGAGTTAATAATTATTACGGCAAAAGGACGAGAAAATATCTAGTACCACGTATTTTCAATGAGATATTTTCTGAAAACAAATGCGGTAATAAAGAAATATTTAAAAAGAAGTTAAAAACGTGGTTGCTGGATAATTATATTATGTATAATAATTAATATTGTCTTAAAGTTATAGTTTTAAATTAATTTGTTATTTTTAATGTGTTTAATTTAAAAGATTTAAAATAAGTTTTAAATCTGTTAAATTAGTGAAAATTTAATTTTCCCATTTTTAAGTTTTTAAGGATTGCATTTTAAATTACAGTTTATGTGTATTTTAGATTCTTAAGGACAGTAGGTACATAAAATGTAAGAGGGTGATGTATTCGCCAACAAACTGCCCTGCAGTTTGGCGAAAGTTGTATAAAGAATAACCGACTGTATTTTTGTGTAATAAATAAATTAAAAAAAAATTAAAGTGGACGACCCGCCACATGACGCCGCAGCAAGTAAAGACCTTTACGCGAGCTTGACAGTAAATAATAATCAATACACATTTAGCATACCAGTAATTTTAAATGGAACCATTTTATAACATGTTCTTAAAGTACTAACTAGTAAATAATTATATTGAAAGAGAATGGTTTACTCTACAAAAGAAGATACTCAAGTTTATCCTAGCCCACTTAGTTCATGAACAAGATTTTTTTAAATCTTATTTCTGTTCTGCTGTAAAATACGATTTTTCATTTGTATCACCTATCACAGAAGGCACAGATATGAATGTACACAAAAATTTATATTAAAGATATTAAAATTATTCCCAGCCTCCTTTTCATCAAAATAATCATTCAAGCCTTGGAGTACGAACACTTTTTTATATAATTTTTAAATTTTGTTGCATGTACATCAAACCAAAAACTAATTATTTACACTTCCTTCTCAGTGTAAATTTTGGATCATCTATTTAATTACCATTTCTCAATGACGTTTGTCATTGTTCCTTGTTAAACAAGATTCATATTTTCGTACATACATAATGTTTTTATATATAAACTGGCAAGTGGACATTAAAAGTATATATTAATTTTTTCCTAATTGAGCCGTAATTAATAGCTGAGGTTCTAAACGTTCGTCGTAAATTTCACAGTACGTGAGCCACCTGGGTTAGATCCTCGCAGGCCTAAATCACAAAAATAGAAGAAAATATCTAAGATAGCACTAGTTACTTAGACAAAAGAACAATGAATCCAGATTTTCTTGTTGGAACGTCTCTAGTGGACTGTTGAAATGAAATTTCTTTCTTTATCTTCCTTTTCTTTTTTTTAAAGTTACTCCCATTAGGATTTTTTGCAGTTTCTTGTTATTTTGAGTTTTTAGTAAGAAGATGCTGCCTTCCATCTTCTGTTTCGTTAATAATGCATTCAAAAATTTTTTTTTTTGGGGGGGGGGGGGGGGGGGGGGGGGGGGGGGGGGGGGTTTTTTTTTTTGTGTGGGTGTGGGGGGTGTTTTTTGTTTTTTTTTTGGGGGGGGGGGGGGGGGGCGGGGGGGGGGGGGGGGTGTCCGGGGGATTTGGGGGGGGGGGGGGGGGGGGGGGGGGGGTGCAAAATAATGCATTCTCTTACCCCTGCAATACATGTTGGCCGAGTCTCAGCGAACGTGAGCGTGGGTAAATTGATAAAAGGGGACACACACTACTACACACGTGCTACAGTCTAAACGTTGGTCTAGTTCGAAAGAGACTAATGCCAAGGCCAATGTTCACGAGTTTTTGTGGAGCTATCTACATGTTGGCCGTAATTAGTCGTCATTGAGAATTGGTATGATATGGACGACGTAAAAGTTATTGCAGCTTCTGCTATTTATTTAATAAGTGCATATAATTATTATGTCAGTGTAATCCGCAGTAAAGTTAAAAAACTTAAAGATGACCTCGTCAGTATAGTGAAATTGTGGAACTTATTTTAAAGTTGCAACTTAACTAAATCAACATCTTACCGGTACGGCCGCCAAGCTGTAACTGACATGGGCGACTAACATGTGGACGCGACTTGCCGAGTGCAGAAAAACCGACACTGTTTGCGCCTTTGATTCCGAAGTGGACGAATCGTAGCGAGCGATCTCGAGTGGCGGCAAGGTACGCCAAACGAACCGTATACAAGTCGGCGCTCGCCTGCACTCGGCCAGCTAGGTGAGCGTCGACGAGCAATGGCGAGGTTGGACAAATGGACTGTCTATACGTTGGTGCTCGCCTTCGCTCGGCCAACATGTATAGCCGGCTTTACACCGCAACAACACGTTAAACTTCTAAGCTGAGTAAAATACTTGTGACCTTAAAATAACTTACTCGTCATCAGCCATGAGTTGGTCGGCGGGCTTGAGGCGTAGTACGGCGTTTTTCTGGAGACCGAGACTAGATAGTGATGCGGATGACGTGGCCCGCGAACCACCGAGGCCTGATATCTGTTGACGGCACACTGGCACCCCGCATACCATTTCCAAGCGTTTCTTTAAATCACCTATGGAATAATATTAATAATGTTAACAAGTGCCATATATTTAAGTATACCCAATGCCCAATATGACAGGGGGGGAAGTTCTGGCAAACGAGCACACAGTCCTGATGGTAAGTGGTTGTTGTGGCCCATAGACATTTACATTTATCCTTAATGAAGAATCAAAATGCAGATGCATTGTAACCCCTGAAGACTAAGACAGAAGGCCTCGTTTCCAGTAAAAAGGGCCTCTGTTCTCTACACTCACCATACGAAACACAGTAGCATTAAGCTGCTATTTTACGCTGGTAGTCTGTGAGATTGTTGTCTTTCCCCGGTAGAGTCGACCCATTCATGCTACATCCATAATATAGCTGCAGTGTGACTCTACCATATATAAATTTAGTAGTTATTAAATTAAGTTATATTAATATATAAGTTTTATTTAATTATTAGTTATTCTGATAGGTCAAACCAATTTAATATGCTATCATTAAATCAATGTAAGGAACAGCACTCCATAATTTTTTGTATAAGTTATTGAAACATGAAGTGGATTGTCCATCTCACTAATCACAATATAGATATTAGTTTCTAGACTTACGGCTCGTCTGCATAATTATAAACCATTCCCAATGTCCTTAAATAAAAGGAAATATGGCAGTTCGTTTCGTATTATAATGGTAAAAAATTATAAACTTTTATTTCAAAATTGTAATTTAGATATCTTTTGTGCAAAGATTGTTGCAAGATTCATTTTTGGTTTTCCCATTATTGCAAATGAAATTCTTTCATATATTTTTTCTCTGTACTAAATGAAATATTTTAATATATATTCTGTAAAACAACATCTATTATTATATAAGAATGTTGTGTAGTTTTTCTAAAAATCGTGATATAAATTTCTTTTATATGTATTTAGTTGGTAAGCCTTATTTGAATAAAATAAAATAAATAAATAAAATAAACTATGACCGTAGGTTCTGAAAATACTCAAAATGTCGCATCATTGGTGGTATTAGTTAAAATTAAAATAGTTTTATTCAATGGATTATTCCTATATGGCTTTGCAGCTTTGTATAAATGTTTGTTTCCTAAAACGAGTTATGTATCATGCGGAATTATAAATATCAGTGTGGAATGTAATCAAGTTTCTATAAATAGTCCAATACGTTAACTTGCGTAAAACAAACAGATTTGTAATTACGATTAATATATATATATATATATATATATATATATATATATATATATATATATATATATATATATATCATCATTACAGCCCTTCACAAGTCCACTGCTGAACATAGGCCTCCCCCAAGTAATGCCACAAAGCACGGTCCTGAGCCACCTGCATCCATCGACTTCCTGCATATCTTACCAGGTCGTCACTCCATCTAGTGGGGGGGTCGCCCTACACTACGCCAAGAAGAGGCTTCGAGTGGCAGCCTCATACCGGTAGTATGAGGCTGCCACTCGAGAGCCTTTCTTCCCCATCGGTTATAGGTTCTTCGAGCTATATGGCCGGCCCATTGCCACTTCAGGGGGTGGGTTTGCTTTCTCTCTCGTTTTTTTCTTTCGTTGTGTACGTTAGTGCTCCCAACAACTACCGGCATAGGTGTGACATGGAAATTAAACATGATCTTTGTTTTGTCCATGTTCATCTTAAGACCTATCCGTTGGGAGACACCATTGAGGTCATTGAGCATAGTGCTAAGGTCCTCCAGCGATTCTGCCATAAGGACTATATCGTCGGCAAATCGAAGGTGAGTGATGTACTCGCCATTGATGTTAATACCGTATCCTTTCCAGTCCAGTAGCTTGAAAACGTCTTCCAAAGCAGCGGTGAAGAGTTTCGGGGATATAACATCACCCTGTCTTACACCTCTCTGCAGTTGGATAGGTTTCGTACTATGGTTCTGTACTCGGATAGCCATCGTAGCCCTACTGTACAAACACTTCAGCACTTCAATATACCGACAGTCAACTAGGCACCGCTGAAGAGACTGTAGCACCGCCCAAATTCCGACGGAATCAAAGGCTTTCTCAAAGTCCACATACGCCAGGCAACGTGGCAGATTTACTCTTCGGACTTCTGTACAATTTGCCGAAGGGTATGTATGTGGTCTATGGTACTGAAGCCTTTTCGGAAACCGGCTTGTTCGGGAGGCTGGAAGTCGTCGAGTCTTAAAACATTCTAAATTCTTAATCCGGGCTTTTGATCGTAAATTCGCTACAGAAGCCCAGGGATTTAGTAAAAATAAATTGCGCATTCTGGCAAGAGCCCTAACTGGACGTGTCTTAGTAAGTATTTAAGCAACTCAAGGATGTGTCGGTTCTGTTCCATAACGGAAGAAATGCCTCTCTGCACATCCTAACTAATTGCGGATCCTTAATGCGCAAACGTAACACTCATCTGGGAAACTATGCACTCCGCCCAGAAGAAATGAAATTGCTCACTGCTAAGCAACTCCTTCTATTCATTGAAGACATAGGGTTTAGCAGTGAACTATAGCCATAGCAGCAATCACAATAGATCTTTTAGATTGCAGTGATACTGGTCTCTTTCCCTAGACCAGCATAGCTGCTCGCAAATAGTAAAAAAAAGGAAAAAAAAGAGGATGGTTTAGATTCACAATTGGACTCGGTAGACTGTTGTCATGATCCAGAATTCACCCGTACGAAGATGGGGCGGATCTCTAGTCTCTGTATATAATTACTCATGCGTCTCTTAATGGATTGTTTGACATCTGAACAACTTGACCAATTGAGGTCATCATTGAGGTCATTCATAGAATATTTTGAATTTTATCTAGATGATGGTTCATAGCTATGCTAGGATCCAATAGGTGGCGCTGTAGTCAAATTAATAATAACAAATTCTTGAGATATGGCCAAAAATGACTCATATTGACAATATGTTGGTTTTGTGCCAAAAAGATAATAACATCAACGTTTGAATCCAATAGGAGGTGCTATGCTTAATTTTATATTTATACTGCAAAAAGACTAGAGTGAATTTGGAGTAAAACTTATCGTGTCACCTGCCTACTGAAAAAGGCATAGTAAAATATAATTTAAAGCATGTTTTATTAATAAGGCTTTTTTAATTTCTCATCCCAACATCCCAATCCAAACATACAATATTTTTGATATAAGGAAATGCTATTTGCTTTCTGGTTACAATAAAGAGTCAAACAGTCTAAGTCTACCTGATGGTAATTTGTATATGGGTGCAACCTGAACAAGTCAACTCAACTGAGTATGTAAGTGACTAGAAACAGTGACCCTTTTTACAGATAATGAAGCATTTCACTTAGTCTGATGCTGACGGATTTGTAACGCAAAGACCAATCCCATTCGGAACGAGTGTTTGTATGGTCTATAAATTATGTTCCGGGTTTGATTGTTAGTCCTTATGCAACGAATGTCAACCGCCATATTTTTTTTAAATAAAAAGGGGGTCATAAACATCAGTATTTTTATTCTTTATCAGGGATAGATATAGGTGATATGGGTCACAGACAGTATCAAAATACCAATAGGTAGCCTTTGTCAATTTATGTAAAAATTTTCAGAATGGTCAATCAAATTAATCAAAACAAAAACAAAAAATATCTGTCTAGAGCTGAAGGTCAACAGTATTTTTAAATATTGACTCAAGGTTCTATTCCATAAACAAATACACACAAAAATAGTAAAAAAGAAAGTAATTTCTACTTACTAACTGTAGCTGAGCCGGACATTTTGATTTCATGCATCTTATTATTGCAATGAACTTGAAGCTCTACCAGATTGGGGGAACTATTTCTAGGTGATGAGGTTGATGCTTGATTATTTTCTTCCCGATCTGGTAAAAAATGATAATGATAAATGAAGTTATTTATTTTTTTAAACCTTTAAAAATTTAATATAATTTGTTTTTATGTTTTGTAAGTACACCATCATCATAGTGTATTACATATATTTTATTTTATAGTAAATATATACACACTGATGTGTTTCATATGATAATTATAGAGAACTGGAGACCCTTTTTACTGGAAACAAGACATTTCATCTTAGTCCTCACGGATGATAACGCATCTGCATTTTGATTCGTAATTGAGGATAGCAGATGTCCATGGGTAACAGCAACCATTTACCATCAGGTGAACTGTGAACTCATTTGTCACCCTTTTCCAATAAAAATTTGTTTTGGAGCAGCCATCTGCAAAACTGCTGTGCAGAATAAATAACACTTATTTTGATATTGTTACGAGCTTAAGGTTCGTGACAGTAAAAACTGCCGGTTGAATTACCAAAATTGACACTTTAATTGCCGAACACCAATTAAAATTAATACACACTAACACTTTAGTTCACTTTATTTCGCTCTAAGTCTTCACTTGTATCGACAATTCAATACTCCCTGGCCATGTCTCTAAACGGCTTTATATAGGCCTTTTGCACCGAAACATCTAGAATGTTCCAACAAATACCGGTCCTGACCGACTAGATGCAAAAAATTCGAGTGTGGAGTTGTCTAGAAAGCTTAGTTCTTCTATTCGATACTAGATGGTGCTAGTGACATCAACTGTGGCGCGCAACAATATCCATAAACTCAGTGATATCTTTGCCATATGTAAGGATATAATTTTAATTTGGTGTTTGTGATAATATAGTTCACCAAGTGAATTGCATCAATGTGGGTTAATAATTTTCCACTCACCAGATGTCCTTATTGGAACTGAGGTGCAGTTATTTGTCACACAGTGTCAACATAAGTGAAAAGTTTTATATTATGAAATATTTCTTTGGTTTCTAGTGCAAACACTTTTTACTGGAAATGAGAAATTTTATCTTAGTCCTCAAGGATCAAGAAATCATAATGCAGATGTGTTGCTCTGCGTTATGATTCTTAATCGAGGATAGATGTAGATGTCTATGGGCCACAGTATCCACTTACCATGAGGTGGACTGTGTGCTTGTTAACCACCCTTATACTATAAAAAATATAAATAAATACCTACATAATGGCTCTTTTATTTTAGCACATTTTTAACTTACTTTTTATATCTTTATTTTTTAAGAATATACATACTTTGGTTTATTCATTTTAATCTAATTAATGTATAAGTTATATTTAAGAAAGAAACTTTAAACTTTATATTTTCCTAAAAATTTTACCTTACCTACTAAGATATTTTTCAAATATTTCACCTCAAATGTGGCAGAAAAGCCATTAAAACAAATCTTAGTTATTCCAAACTGACACACATTGGCATACCTATATATAGCCTATAACTTCTATCCTATAATATGCATGATCTATATATTCTTTTGATTTTGCTGGTCGCCTATGAGCCATGGTAGCTCAGATGGTTACCACTCACTGTAAATTTCACAGCACCCCCGCCGGTACCAATAAAATTGTTAATTGCAATTTTTAGTGCTGATTTACCACATGCTCGACGGTGAAGGCAAACATTGTGAGGAAACATGGATGTGTGAGGATAAAGAAAAAAAAATATTTCGTAGACATGTGGTTCACCAAACGCATTGGGGCAGCGCGGTGGACACTTTCTTGCCCTAAAACCCTCTCAGAAATGAGGGAGGCCTGTCACCAGCAGTGGGATGTATATAAGCTGTAACTTTTAACATTTTTTAATAAATTTTAATTTTGTTGGTCATAGACCTCCCCCATTTTTGAGGATTTGCCATTAGAGCTATGCTTAGGATGAGGATTGAAAATTGCGACTAGACATTTAAAATTTTTGCCAAAGCTCTTCTCAACTGGTCAGAGATTAAAATAAATAAAAGGTCATTAGCCATTTGTTGCAAGCTTACAGTGTTAGCTAAGTTGACTTTCCATGTTACCCCCAAAGAAAAACTTTAAAAGCGAATCCGAATGATACACCTACCTTAATATTAGGTTATATGAATTAACATTGATTTCATTTGATTTAAAAAGATTTCCATTAGCATTATAGAAAGTCACCTTGGGTATGTAGTTTTTGCACACTACAACTATATTTTTGGCACATTACAACTATATCATGCTTAAACTTTAATTATATTATGCTCCTATAACAATTAGTATCATTGAAATAATACTAGTTTGTTACAGAATTTATCGTATATATTTAACTTTAAATTTTTTTAAATACCCGACGTTTCGAATGCTTTACAGCACTCATGGTCACGGGCGGGATGAGTGCTGTAAAGCGTTCAAAATGTTGGGTATTAAAAAAGTTAAATATATGCGATAAATTCTGCAAAAACTAGTATTATTTCAATGTGTAGTGTTCGCGTAAATATAAGAAATCACTTAGTATCATTTCTTATTATATTTACAACTATTATCAAAGAATAATTACACACTTTATAATTCTATTTCTGGTCATTGCATACCTGGTGGGTGGGTTTTTGGTGTTATCACAGATATATCTTCATCTATCATCTCAACATCATGAGTGTCACTGTTTTGGGACATTGAGTTACGTGAACTGTTTCCATCTTGAGGCATTACTCGATTGATTGCAGTCTACATGTAACAAATTTAAAAAAAAACAGTTAACTGCATTGAAAATCAAAATGTTCAATTTCTTTATTAGTTTTATATACTAATAAGTTTTTCAAAATGTTAAGGTTTTGTTTACATTTGACTTGAAATTTAGGATAGTTACTCATTTCGCAATACAAACGCTCACTAAGAAAGGATTTTACGATAGTCCCATAAAAAAACTTGATATTTTACTATTACGATCTAGGTTTCACAATAAAATATTACTCTACACCCAGCAAAGTGAGGGGGGTATCAACTAGTTTGAAATAAATAACTTGTGATATATGTATAAATAGATCAAGCATTTTGAATCTTAAAAAGGTCAATTTGATCTTGTAATATATTTGAATATATTGGTTCACTAAAAGTCATGTAATCAATACTTACATCAAAAATGATTTTTTTAAAATTACTAGTACAGGCTAACTTTATCCTAACCATTGAACAAATATTCTTTGTTCTTTACTAAAGCAAATATATTCATGTTTTTTTCTTTAAATTGTTGCATATAAATAAAATAAACACACAATTCCTTATTTCCTTTGTTCTACTTTGTATGTTCACAATAATTAAAAATTAGTTTTACAGAATTCCAATAACAACGAAATCTCACTTAAATTCATGAAATAGTAAATTTTATATAATTGCTACTTACAAGTAAGTCCCAATTAGATTCCTCTAAGTGGAATATTGCTTCAGCAACATCTTCTATGTTTGTTATTCCCTAAAAACAAAAAGTACAATGAATACATATTTTTTCTCTTATTATGTACAATTATAATTTTCACAAAAACCCTTATTTTCTAGATTGAAAGGTTTTCACTTGAAAAACTTATTCAAACAATGCAGTTGTTTTTAAATGAATAAATATCTTGAAACGTAATTCACAATCAAAATCAGACTAAGATGAACACAAAGAAAGTTACAATTTCATAGTTTTAACTATGTTCTACTGTATTATATACACAGTGAAAAATATTAAGGAGATGAGACCAAAAATATAAAATTATAATTGATGTGGAATTAGAGACCAGATTAAATACAAAGAGATAAAAGAGGTTTTAATAGTCACTGTTGTTGATCTCCACATAACCTTCACAATATGAGAATGTTATTTTATAGGTATAAATATTAAAAAATTGCGACGTGTGATGAAATTACCTGAAAATTTGCTAGAATTTCTTCCCTGTTTTCAGACATCCTGATATTTTTATCACAAAAAACTACTATTCTACTAAGTATGACATTTACATTTGCAGACAAATCACACTCAACTCAACTCAAACTCAAACATTGGCAATAGACCATAGACATAAACAGAAACGTCATTTGTTGCCACTTTAATAAAAATCATAAATCATCAAGAAGAAGTATAAAAATAAAAGTTGTTGAGAAAACATTGTATCACATGTCTATAATAGTTAAATAAACTAATACTACAGCCAGATTTTTAATAGGTCAGACTAGTTACCGCCCGCGTTCTTGTAAAATGCGGCACCTAATACTACGCTGAATTCGGCGTACCTACCCGAGCCAGTCCAAGCTAGTCTTGTTCACAAATTATAAAGTTGTATGTACAGGTCTTGTTGCAGGCAGGCGGGCATATCGAGTGTTTTATTAAATTTTAAGAGTGTGGTTTGCAAGATGATGATGTGACCAAGATTAAGAAAGGAATGCTTCGGTGCTTTGGTCATGTGGAAAGAATGACAATGAAAATTTATCTTGCAGAAGTGAATGGCAGAGTCGGAAGGGGACGTTCTACGCGAAAATTTATCGACCAAATTGGCGATTTATTGAAAAACGGGCCAAATTAGGATTACCCTTAACCGACGAGCATGTATGCGTAGGTATATGGATGTGAAGGAGGCGAAAGAAGTGTGTCAGGATTGTTCCAAATGGAAGTCTAAAGTCTCTGCCTACCCCTCTGGATGACAGGCGTGAGCCGCGTGAGTGTTTGTGTTTTTTTATGTTATTAAATTTTAATCATAATCCGAAGTAAGATGCCACTTCGTGTAGTAAAATTATGTAAAAATAATACAGCAAGAAATAAGGAAGACACTGGTAGCACATAGCCTCTTTATTTATCATAAAAAATAAAGTATCACGTGGTTAAGATTTTTATTTGTTATGTGTGAATTTATTGTTACTACATTTTATAATATAATATATTATTATATTTAAGTTATTATATAACGTAGTTCTATATTATTTAATGTTTATTTTTGTAATATTAAAAATAAAGGGTCCTAAAAATCACGTTCCTTGTATGAGGGCCATACAAGCAACGTGATTTTTTTCGGCGTTTTTTTTGTTCAATTTTAACATTCATACATATTCATTTCAGTTTTGCCAATAAACTAATCTTTCAAGTGTTTTTTAACTAACATATCATTAGATTTAAAAAAAATAGCAGCATATGTATTCATGCTTGAGTAGATAATTACAATGAAAAAACTGTGATATCGCTAGGGCACACCGACGCTATTCTACCATGGGTGCCATTGAGTACTAACTATACGGTGCCTCCTTCCGTGTGGTTTGATTAGGGAAGTTTTATATTACGCCTTGGAATATGGTCTGACACAACTGGTTACTTCGCCTACGCGGATTCCAAATGTGGAGGATCATGCACCTTCCCTGTTGGACCTTCTGCTGACCTCTCATCCGGACGGATATCTGATTTTCGTCAACGCTTCTTTAGGCTCCTCGGACCATTGTCTTATCGGGAGTGTGGTGCTACTCACGTCGAAATCGGGGTTGCATTCTGCAGGCTGCCGTCGAGTTTGGTACTATAGGTCAGCTGATTGGGATAGGATGCGGTCTTTTCTTGCATCCTACCCTTGGGGGCGGATTTGCTTCTCACCGGATGATCCCAAAGTTGTTGCTGATTCTGTCGCTGATGTGGTACTTCAGGGTCTGGAATTTTTTATTCCTTTCTCTGTGGTGCCCATCGGAGGCAAATCTCAGCCATGGTTTGGCTGCTCCTGTAAGATATCATCATGCTATAAGCAGGAGTGTTACCTGGGCTGACGCATTAACGTACCGGGATGTAAGCACCAGCGCTCTAAAAAAGAAGTATAATTCCGCTTCCAGGTCCTTCAAAAGAGTCATTGCTAAGGCAAAGTCAGAGCACATAGGCAGAATTGGCGAGAAACTAGTTCGCCTTCCTTCTGGAGCCCGTGCATTCTGATCTCTCACCAAGGCTGTCCAGGGGAATTTCTGTCAGCCGTCTCTTCCATCTCTGCACAGGAAAGACGATTCACTGGCCTATGCCGCAAAGGAGAAAGCCGATCTGCTAGGCTCTTTCTTTGCATCCAACTCGACTCTTGATGACGGGGGGAGTACGCCGCCGACCATCTCGCGGTGTGAGTGCTCCATTCCGGAGATGCGGTTCACACAGCACTAGGTTCGCAAAGCACTCCTCTCCCAGGACATCCACAAGTCGAGTGGGCCTGACGGTAACCCCCTAATTGTGCTGAGGACGTGTGCTCCAGAGTTGGCACCGGTCTTAACGCGTCTTTTCCGGTACTCCTACTCACTAGGGTTAGTCCTAAAATCATGAAAGGCGGCTATCTTCCACCCGATCCCTAGAAAGGCGACCGCTCAGACCCGTCCAACTATAGGCCCATCGCCATCACCTCCTTGTTCTCCAAAACAATGGAGTCCATTGTAAAATGTCAGCTCATGAGGTACCTTGAGGATCACCAGCTGATTAGTGATCGCCAATACGGTTTTCGTCGTGGTCGATCTGCTGGTGATCTTCTGGTCTACCTGACTCATAGATGGTAGTCCAACGGGGAGGCACTGGCCGTTAGTTTGGACATTGCGAAGGCCTTCGATATGGTTTGGCACTAAGCGCTTCTTTCGAAGCTCACTTCCTATGGGCTTCAGTAATATATAAGTCAACGGCAGTTTCATGGTCACTTGGAAGAGAAGGTCAAATTGGCCTCTAAAAAGCTTGGCGTGCTCAGCAGAGCGGGCGAGCAACCGAGTGCTTTCCGATCGGCTCGATTCACTGGCGCTGCGGAGAGATGATGATGTTGATGCATCTCTTTGCGTATTTTATCGCATCTATCACGGGGAGTGCTCTGAGTAATTGTTCGGATTAATCCCAGCTGCCTAATTTCATGAACGCACTACGCGGCAAACCTCCCGATACCATTGACACCATCTGGATGCTTGGCGGACCACTACTATACGTTTCACAAGGAGTTTTCTTCCGGGTACGACCTCTCTGTAGGATAGCTTACCATCGGCGATTTTTCCAGACCGATACGACCTGGGGACCTTCAAGAAAAGAGCTTACTCCTTTCTAAAGGGTCGGCAACGCACTTGCCTATATACGGCTCACTGCTGGGCACAGGCCTCCCCTCATTTCTGAGAGGGTTTTAGGGCAAGGAAGTGGCCGCCGCGTTGCCCCAATGCATGTTGGCGAACTTCACATGTCTTCGATTTTTTTTTTCGTATTCCTCAGACATGCAGATATCCTCACGATGTTTTCCTTCACCGCTGAGCATGTGGTAAATCAGCACTTAAAATTGCATTTAACGATTTCATTGGTGCCGGCGGGGATCGAACCCGGGTTACTCGCGTTCTTTTTTTATATATACAGCGGGCGTTAACCATCTCAGCTACCACGGCTCTACCCGGTTAAACGAATAAATAAATAATTTTTTGCAGCACAGATTATAAATATTATGTAGTAAACAATTTCGAAATCCACAATAAAATTTAGAAGAGGCTATTCATTACTCAAGGTTCTAAATATTGAGAGGATCATTTAATTATATATAGGTACATAATAATTTTTTTGGCAGTCTTTTTTGAAACCAAAGTTTGGAGTTTTGATATACTCTTTACAGAACCGTTGACAATATAAATGACAAGTTCGTGGAAACTATCATACAATATAAGCTAAAATTTGGATAAGATTGCTAAAATTCTTTTACCGTTGGGGCAGCCTCGTACCGGTAAGAAAAGTGTAGGGTGGCCTCCCACTGGCTAGAGTAACCACAAGGTTAAACATACACAAAGTAGATGTTTGCAGATGGCTTCGGACTATGTTTTGTGATATTCTATGTTTAAAAGTTAAAAAAAATATTCAAACTACTCAAAGATACTGCCTGTGAAGTGGCGGGTAAGAATATCCACTACCCTATACCTTACCGTGGTGTCGTAAGAGATGAGAGAGGGAAACTGATGCAGAAGAAGGCCAGCAGCATATTACATAAACACTCACGCCTGTCACCTAGAGGGGTAGGCAGAGACTACAGACTTCTATTTGGCACGATCCTGACACACCTGTCTCGTCTCCTCCACATCTATATACCTACGCATACATGCTCGTCGGTTAAGGGCCAGCAGCATCTTTCAGATAAACGCAAAATAACAATGAAAAATTGAGGTTGCCAACCCACCCGCCATGCGTGGCAATTATGGCAATATACTTTTCATGGCAAGAGGTATAAAAAGACTACCCCCAGCCCCCGGCGACCCCGCTATTTCTAGTTACAGTGGTGACCATAGTAACGGCGGGGCAGGGGGTTGCTAAGATTCTCCAGGGGAGGTTCGGTTGCCACCTAAGACGCCCTGAGGACTGACGAGAAGATACTGGAACTGGAAGAACAGATAGACAAGTTGCGCTGGGATATTAACCGAAGAGAGGGGGAGGACATGGTAATCCTCGAATTCGGCAACTTTTTCTATCACTCGGAGGGCGACCATCTGTCCCAAAGAGGTGTCGGATTTATCGTCCACAAGTCTCTCGTTAACAACGTAGTAAAGATTGGGAGTGTGTCGATGAGGGTTGCGTACCTAACACTTAGAACTGGATTTGCTGAAGGCCATAAAAGTTTACGCACCAACCTGGACACATCCCTAACAGGCCACAACTCAAGAGGGCACAAGAGAGAAAAGTGAGCTGAATGAAGGAAGAGAAATTCGGGATAAGGCAACGGAACTCAAATGACCAGCAGATGGCCGACTTCATGGATAAAAAGAACTCTTTCTTCCAGAAGCGGCCCCACAGAAAGTGGACCTGGTCGAGCCTCGACTGTTCGATAAAAAATGGCAGAAGACAACTGTTTAGTGTTGTCAAATATAGACCAAACAAACATCACGTGTAGCGACCATTTTACACCTATGCCGGTAGTTGTTGGGAGTACAAAGCTCGAAGTTATTGATGTTTACCGGGGACAAAT